AAAAAATAACAAAAAAATAACAAAAAAATAACAAAAAATAACAAAAAAAACAAAAAAAACAAAAAGAAACAGGAATGAAATGTGAGTTAAAATTAGGGAATACATTTAAAATAAGGTTTTAATATTCGAAAAATAAATGCTAAAATTGACAGAATCATGTCATGAGAATCATATAATGAGTTTAATGCTAGATTTTTTCACATAAATTTAGCGTACATTCAAGCAGTAATAGTGTATGAACGATTGGCAAATTCAAAAATTCTTCAGTGTATTCTTTCGATTATTTTAGCGTGCAAAAGTGATTTGGAAATTTCACTCAATAGTTTTAAGGATGTGGTGGAAATGAAAATATATTTTTTAAAATTTTGTTTTCATGAAAATGTATTTTTTTAAATTTTCATTATGACGATGAATAATGTTATTTTATAATACATTTTTTCTTTTTTCAAAAATCGAAATTCATTGATGTTTTTTTAATTTTTTTTTTTTCAGGCAATTGTAGTAACAGATGGAGAGCGTATACTTGGTTTAGGTGATCTTGGATGTTATGGTATTGGGATACCAGTAGGAAAACTTTCATTATATGTTGCTCTTGGTGGAGTGCAACCGAGATGGTGTCTTCCTGTATTATTGGATGTTGGAACGAATAATGAAGTAAATGATAGGAAAATTTCGATAATTTTCTGATGATTATAATTTTCTTTTTTATAAAGAACACAAATGCTTTATTTCAGGAGCTTCTGAATGATCCATTTTATATTGGATTGCGTCGTAAGCGTGTTCGTGGGCCTCAATACGATCGACTTATTGAGAATTTTTTCTTAGCTTGTAGGAAAAAGTACTTATTTTCTCCTACATAATGAAAATTTGCAAATTTTTATGCGATTTGCGAAGTTTATATTACTTCCAAATATTACCCATATATTTTATTTGAAACTAGTATAATGTCTTTCTAATCAGGTTTTCATACTATAGGAAAAAGTTAACAGGTAATATAAGAACCGATGGAAACAGTAGCTGAGCGATTGAAATAAACAGGATTATGGTTATTAGGAATTTAACTTAGTTTAATTATTTGTTTTTAATCAATCAAAGGGAAAGAGAAAATATCCGAAATTTGTTTATTGAATTTTCAAGGTCAGAAATATAGCGTGAAATGTAATAATATTGATGAAGTAACCATTGAAATAACAGTAATGCCTCTTTGTATTTTGAATTCAAAGCTTTTTTTTAAGCCTGAGCAGCTACTAGACAAGGCATTCATACTTTTAATTTTTTTATAGGTTAATTTTATTTAAAAAAATGCATTTTCGAAATAAGTGATTTTTCTAATTTTTTATCAAGGTTTGGGCAACAAGTGCTTATTCAATTTGAAGATTTTGCCAATCAAAATGCATACCGTTTATTGGATATGTACAGAAACAGATTTTGTGCATTCAATGATGACATACAAGGTGTGTTAATTTTTTGTTTTTTTCTTGATTCATTCCTTTTTTGCTTTTTATCTTCTTTCGTTATCAATAGTATCGTAATTTTTGCATGACCTTTTTTTAATTTGAAATACTAATGAATTTTTTTTTGGGGGGAGAGAGGAAGGACATTATTAACATTGTCTGTTTGATTGCAATACTAATAATTGTTTATTCATTTTTTCCGTTTTTTTTTAGGAACTGCAGCTGTTGCCGTAGCTGGTCTTTTAGGATGCTGGAAGTATACTGGTAAACCACTCGCAGAAGGAAAATTTGTTTTCTTGGGTGCTGGAACTGTAAGCTTTTTTATTTGAATTTTAATAAAACTGAAAATTTTCAAAAATTTTTTATGCATAATAACTTTTCAGTGATTTTTTGTTGTGGTAATTTATACTTTATGAAACTAAAGAAAGATAAGATTCATGAATTTTTCTTCAATTATATCAGGCTTCGATGGGCATCGCTGAGCTGTGTGTAGCAGAAATAGTATCAGAGGGTTTAACAAAAGAACAAGCATATGACCGTATCTTTTTGATGGATATCGATGGATTGATCACAAAAAATCGGAGTAATTTAGACGATCTACACAAACCTTATGCAAAAGATTTACCTGAAACAAAAAGTTTGCTAGAAGTAAGTATATTTGCCCTATCGTTTCTTACATATGCATTATGAGAAAAATATAATGGATTGCAATAACTTATGTTAAATGAGGTAATGATTATGAGAACAGCGATAATTTCCCCGAGTTCCTCTTTGAAAAAAGCAAAAAGAAGGGAAAAAATTTTAATTTTTGATGTTTTAACAGGTTGTGAAGAAGGTCAAGCCATGGGGTTTGATTGGTGCCTCGACAGCACGTGGTGCTTTCACTGAAGAAATTGTTCGTGAGATGGCAGCAATTAATAAGCATCCTATCATTTTTGCACTTTCAAATCCAACGGATAAAGCGGAATGTACTGCAGAGGATGCTTATCGTTGGACTGACGTACGTTTCAAATATATATATTTTTTATCTTGGATGTGTGTATGTCTCTGTATGGTATGTATGGTATGTATTTAGGTTGTGTGAGTGTATGTGTTCAGTTCTATATTTGGAGACATCTTGTTGATTAAAATAAATGATTTAGTTATTGTATGTATCTTTTTGATCACTTATATTGCTAATAGCCATCATTGCAGTTGAGGTAGCAGTTATTCATCTCGTCACTTTTTTTGAGATTGCAAATGGGAAGAAGTCAGTATTACGCAAGGAATCATTTAAAAATTACATTTTTGAAATTTTGAAATGTGGTATGATAAAAATTACTGAGTGATGGGGAATTTCCTCAAAGGATATAACAGGAAAAGTTAAAAAATTTTTCAACTTGTTTTTATTCCTTTTAGGGAAGAGCGCTGTTTGCTAGTGGCAGTCCATTCCCAGATGTGAAATATAATGGGAAAATCTTTAAACCTGGTCAAGGAAATAATGCATATATTTTCCCAGGTGTAGGTCTTGGCGCTATCCTTTTCAACGTGCGTCATATCGATGACGAAACATTTCTGATTGCTGCTCATGTTTGTTCTTAATTTCCTTAATGTTTTATTACTGTAATTTATACAGAGAACAAGTGGTATGAAAGGATGGATATTTGGTTTCCATAAAAATGGTTGCTTATTTTAAAATACTTTCCTTTGCATTCTTTTTACAACATTCAATTCTGAGATGTTTGAATTTAAACTCAACATTTTTCTGTTTTGAAATTGGTATCAAGTTTCTGACAATTGCAAAAGTTATTTTAAAGTTTTAATTGGCACATAATTACTATGCAGGAAGTTGCAAATACTGTGACAGATAAAGACTTCAAAGTAGGCCGTTTGTATCCACGATTGGATCGCATCCGTGAAATGTCCGTAAGAATAGCTATTGCGGTTGGCGAACACGCATATAAGGTTCGTTTCAGCTTTATAGTGATATTGCTAAGATTTTCTTTTTTCATTATATTATGGGTCTCCATATCTCTGAGGAGATAGCTGTTGATATGCAAAAATTCCTTAGGTTTTCTTAGGTCAGATTATTCATAGAGGTCTTCTGCTCCATTGCATGTACCTTTCATTTTTCAGGCCTTATTTTGTTTAAAAAATCCATCTAGCTACAAACAATCAGGATTTTTTGGAATTGTTTCAGATAATTTTCTGCATTAATTTGGTAAAAATAAATAACGTATGAAATTTGTGATAAAAATTTGTTGTTTGTAATGAAATAACCGTTTTAGAATGGTATGGCATGCCTTTATCCGAAACCAAACGACCTTGAATACTTCGTACGTTCACAAATTTACCATACATCATACGATGAAATAATCAATGTTACTTATAAATGGCCACCTCATGATATGAAACACGGTTTTCCGATACCAGTTGTAGATCGGCAAAGTGACGAATAGATGAAGGAACAATCATCAGCTGATGGTTATTAGTAAATTAGCTGTACATCATGAGAGTGTTGAAGAATAGAAAAAAAAAAATCATCAGATCGATGGTTATTAATAAATTACCTGTTAATAAATTATTGTTGCTTATTGTTAGTGAATTGTTAGTAAATAACTTTTTTTTAAAAACATTTCGTTGACTAATGTTGAATGATTGAACAAATTTCGGAATGTTATCTAGCAGTTTCACAAGAAATTATTATTTTCTTCATTAATACAGTATTGATTAAATTAAATCATGAATTATCATCGCTTTTTTCTTTTATTTCATTTTAAAGATTTTGATTGTTAAAAACTATCCTTTTTATTAATTATTTATCTGTCTCCCCCCTTACTTTTTCTTTACGTTGAATAATTATGCTTTAATTTGATACATCAGGAACGATCTCTGTTTAAACATGAGCTGCTAGCATTCGTTTAAAACAATTTATTTATTGATTAGCTTTTCTTTTGCATCGGCTAGTTGTGACAATTATCAAATTAAGGAATATTGAGCAATGTTTTGAATTTTATTGAAAGCTTTACTAGCCGTTTAGAGCTTTTTAGTCGATTGGAATGATGTTTTATTGTAATATTGTTATTAATATATTTCAAGTTTTAATTTATCAGAAAATAACATCTCTGATATTGATGGTATTTAATACTTGATGGTTTTACAATAGTAATAAAAATTATATCACTGAAAATTGAACCGGCATATTTTAACGATTCGGAAAAATTTGTTGATTTGCTAATATAATTTTAAAATCTCTCAGAAATATTAGTCGTAAAATTTGCATTAGTGATGGTCGGTTGTTTATTTGTCATTCTCCTTAATTTATAAATTTCAGCAGTATGTACAAAACTACATATCTCTTAGGTAGTAAGAATATTGATATAGGTATTATCTCAATTGTTGCTGTCAGAAAGGATGTCTTCAATGATTCCCTTCAAACGAAATCTAGTATCCCTTAGGTAACGAGTTTCTAATTAAGTTTTTTCAATTTTAAATATCTGAATTCTGAGGCTGCTTTATTTTTTCTTTAAGGATTTGAAGTAATAGCATTGTTTCATAATGTTTAATATTTCTCTTATTTAAAAAAGTACCCTTAGTAGAATTGCTGATAGTTAAGTTAATTGATGTCTAAGTTGAAGTTATATCGCAAAGCGAAATGTGAAATACAAGCAGAGCAACAGACATCCATCAGAGAATGAACCATCTCCGGAATGGTGTCATACACGAGATGATATTAACTTACATATGTTATATCGGCATGAACGTGAAACACCTAAAAAACGTGGAATTGAACTTTTGAAAGATAGTCGCATGTGTAAGGTATATGATACGTACCCTTTTTTCATTTTCCACGTGAACATTCTTGTTGAAAATGGAGAAAAAAAGAAAAAGGAGTTTAAATTACGAACTTACTTAAAATGAAGCTAAAAAAAGCATGGTTTTTGTTAATATGATTTTCTAATGATAAGAAGATTTCCATATGAAAATTATATTTTTGCTGATGATAAATACATTTCAATTTTGCTATATTTTAATTGGCAAAATAGCAACTGATTGCATCATTATCATTTTAATCATTATCAGCTATCTCGATGTAGATTATTTATATCGCATGTTAAGATCACATTTAAAATACGTACAATACATTGTTCACCTGAAATCTTACCATATTTGATTATCCTGACAATAATTTGAACCATCATATCATTTTCAATTTATTCTTCAGACAGGCGTAATGTGATCAATAATGAGATGAAATTTTCTGCATCATTTCGATTTTCTGAAATGCATATTCATTTTTCTATATTATACATGTATAGTCTTTCTAAAATTAAATCAAACTTTAAAAAAAAAAAAACGCCAAAGCTTTGGTTTATATTTCTTAAAGGGAACGGCATTTACATTATATGAACGTCAGTATTTCGGGATTCATGGCTTATTGCCACCAGCATTTATGACCGAAGATCAGCAAGCATATCGAATTATTACTAATCTTCGACAACAACCCGATGATTTGGCACGATACATTCAATTAGATTCTTTACAGGTTAAAAATTTACAAATATTTAAAAAATTATACCTCACTAATACATATTCAGCATCATAGTAACTTTCATTTCTTTTACATAATTTTTTCAAATCAGAAAATTAGAATATGCTAGATTATCTTCAAGATAAGATTATCAAACTGTCGCAGTTTTTCTAAAGTTTAATTAATTCTCACATAATTTAAACACACAAACTTCTTTAAGGACAATAATGAAAAATTATATTATCGGGTAATATGTGATCATGTCAAAGAACTTCTTCCTATTGTTTATACGCCAACTGTCGGTTTAGCGTGCCAAAAATTTGGCTTCATTTATCGAAAACCAAAGTTATAAAATTCCAATCACAATTTTTCTTTCTTTTTCCACTAATAATTTGCATATTTAAAACTAAATATATGTATAATAGAAAAAATAGTAGGTTTTTTATTTATGAACGATTCATAGAAAAAGCTTCGCTTCCTCCAACTACTAATATCAGAAATTCCATTTTCTCGTTTATTCATATTTTTTCCGAGAATATTAATTTAATTTTTCTTCCATTTATATTTAATTAATTTGATGGGTATTTTAAAAGAATATGAAGTAAAATGCAATAAATCTTCACTGGTATTATTTTATTCGGTTTTACATTTGCATCTTAATAAAACATTCTTATAAATAGCCGAGAAAATTATTCATAATATATTTAAATGATTTTGCAGAGGCTTGTATATAACAATAAATGATAATAGCATTAGCAAAATTTATCACATCCTTTCAAATTGGCCTGAAATCGATGTTCGGGTTAGTGTATCATTTTATTTAAACAAATATTACAATTATATTCCAAATGCAATCGTCTTTAATACGAGTATAATTGGTTATTCTGACTAACCTTACGGCATGACAGTCAAAATTTAATTTAAAAAAAGAAAAAAAAAGCAGGAAAATTCTAAATTTATTAACATCAATTGCTATTATATGTAACACTATATTGGGTAGCTCCGTGTATGTAATATTTTCATCAAAAATTGTTTACTTCCGTGTATGCCTTTACTTGTAATATCAGGCACCTTTAGGTATCTCTGCTCATAACCAGGCACCTCAGATACCTTCATTTGCGCTTTTAGGTACCTCTTATTTTTATGTACCTTCACTTGCCTTTTCATCTGCTCTATTCTATTTTTCGAATATGATATATTCAGGTGATGGTGGTAACAGATGGTGAACGAATTCTTGGCCTTGGTGATCTTGGATGCTATGGTATGGGAATACCTGTGGGTAAATTATCTCTCTATGTTGCTTTGGCCGGTGTGCTACCAAAATGGTGCTTGCCGGTTGTGTTAGACGTTGGAACAGATAATCAAGTGAATGCTTTTATTTCTTTTTCATTTTTTTTAAAATTTTTATCTGTTTTCTGTAAAAAATCTTTCTATACTGATTTGCACAATTATAATTTCTGATGATAGCATTAATGGAATATCATTGCTTATCATATTTTCTGTTGTTCTACTTTTAGTGGAGAATAATGCATCAAAATATGTATTTAACTTTTTTTTGCTGACTGAGATTTATGATTCATATGTTTGACTTAAATGGATTCGAAAATATTTTTTTTATTATGCTTTTATTTTTGGTATAATTTCAATATCATTCTAATCATTTTTCATTATAATTAAATATATTTAATCCATTTGCGGGCAATAAGTAAGAATTTATGTGCATTTTAATGTTTTATCATTTTTAAAAAGCAGCATTAATTTATTTGTGATGATATTTTACTGATAGGATTAATTTTAATCGAGAAATATATTTTCTGCAGACATTATTAGAAGATCCGTTCTATATTGGATTACGTCGAAAACGGATTCGTGGCGAAGAATATTATTGCTTTGTTGATAATTTTATGAAAGCATGCACTAAAAAGTTTTTTTATTTGCATATAATTTATTTGTTTTAAATTTATTTCAAATGAAGGATAATAATACTTTGAGATATTTTTTCATGATAATTTCATTATATTTTTTTGAAATGCTTTCTCTCTTTAATAAGTCTTACAAATGATAATTTGCAACATCCGTAAACTAATATATAACTATTTATGTTCGTTATGAATAAAATAGATTACATACTTCGTGAATTATCATTTGTAAAATGTATTTAAGAAAGAAGGGAACAGAGAGAGAAAGAGAGAGAAAGATACCAAAGTTTTTGTAATTTATTCTTATTAAATTATAAAGTATATCTTATTATGAGATAATATAATACCAAGAAAATTATTAATCTTTTATATCACTTTTTTTGTAAAAAAAAGTAATATAAACTTTATTAATCTTTATATCACTTTTTTTATTAATTTATTATTAATCTTTATATCACTTTTTTTTGTAAGCTTTAATACTCACCAGTTTATATTTTGTTCTGAGATGAATTTGAACAAACATTTGTAACATATCGTGATGCATAGGAAGACATCATGTCAGAATAGTTTCACTGCTTGTCAGGTAGATTTAAAAAATCATAGATGATATTTTTACAAAAGATTTGATTTGCAATATTTATATGAATATATTCAATATCATATTTATTTTCATCAATAAACACGTAAATACTCGAACTTTGTTTTAATTTGTCAAATCTAATATCGTATATCTTATTTTCTTATTCATTTATTTGAACGAAATTAGAAATGAGAAAGCATTCTTCCTTTTCTTTTCTTAACAGTTGAGTTTTTTTTTCAGATTTGGACAAAATTTATTGATTCAATTTGAAGATTTTGCAAGACAAAATGCTTATCATCTTTTGGAAAGGTATAGAAATCAATATTGCGTTTTCAATGATGACATACAAGGTATGTGATAATTTTAATATAGCAAAAAGCAAATAATGTATAAATTATTTTATGACGTATACCACGTGTCCATGTATTTCAAATAGAATATTTGTATTTAAACATTTCGATCTCTTTTTTTGGTTATTCAAATTTAAGACAAAACTCTTAAGCTTTTTTTTTGTTTTGTTTAGGTACAGCTTCCGTAACTTTAGCAGGACTTTTGGCATGCCGCAAACATACCGGAAGACCTTTATCCGCTGAGAAAATAATCTTTTTTGGTGCCGGATCTGTATGTTTCTTTTTTATTTTCAAGGATTGATTAATGATTAAAATTGATAGCTCATTCTTTAGTTACTATACGATTCAATTGATTAAAAAAGTAAAAATATTGAAAGCTCAATTATACAAAATTCTGAAAATTTTATTCATTATCACTTATTTCTTTTTTCCCATCTTTTGTAACTTAAGTTGTTATTTTACTACGTATCATAAAATATGAATATATAGGCTGCAATGGGAATTGCTAATTTGTGTATTTTACAAATGGAAAGGGAAGGTATCAAACGTAAAGATGCTCGTTCACGTATTTACTTGATGGATTCCGACGGTTTAATTACCCAAAACCGTTTACACATGGAGAAAGAACATATACCATATGCCAAAGCTGTGCCAGAAACAAAAAATTTACTCGAGGCTAATATTTTAAAGCAATGATAACTGACATATACCGAAATGTTTAAATGATTCAAATAAATTAGATAGCTAAATTAGATGTACTCCATTACAAATATTTAGAAATTAGATCCTATAGTGTAAATATTTGAATAACTGAAAAAATTTTCAGAACCAATTATTTTTAAAAATGAGGAAGCATTGAAAAATATTGTAGAACTAATTAATTGGAAACTAAATTGATTATTTAACTAAATGCATATCTTGTTTTTTATTTAGGTAATTAAAAATATTCAACCAACGGCACTAATTGGTGCCTCAACAGTGGCGGGTGCTTTCAGTGAGGAAATTGTTCGTACTATGGCAGAATTAAATCCGAAACCGATCATTTTCGCTCTATCAAATCCAACAAAAAATGCGGAATGTACTGCGGAACAAGCAATTCGTTGGACCGATGTATGCCTTTTTTAAGTACTACTAAAGTTTATTTTGGCAGTTTATGTTTCTACGATTAATAGAAGACATCACGTAATATCTAGGCCTAGTTTTTTTTTTTCAGGGTAAAGTATTGTTTGCAAGTGGAAGTCCATTCAATAATGTGAAATACAAAGAGAAATTATATAAGCCAGGACAAGGTAATAATTCATATATATTTCCGGGCGTAGGCATGGCAGCCATTTTATTTCGAATTCGACATATTGACGATGAAGTATTTTTAATAGCCGCTAACGTTTGTTCACTTTTTTTTTTCAATTTTCTTTTTTATATCAAATATTCCATTAACATTTATTAATAATAGCATATGAAAGTTCAACGATAAAACAATAATTATTTCTATTGAAATTAACGGCATGACTATTAACAATGATATTTTGCTATTCATTAAATAATTTAATTTTTACGATCTGTGTGAGTATCGGCATTTTGAAGTAATATTTATAGGAAGTGGCTAAATGTGTTAATGACGATGATTTCAAGTATAAACGTTTATACCCCAGTTTAAGTCATATTCGAGAAGTTTCAATAAAAATAATTTTAGCTATTGGAAAGTACGCCTATGAGGTTAGTTAATCATTTTGGAAGTGTTACTTATCAATTGGATTTGAAGCACAAAATTTCTCTTGCTTCCTTTAATTTTCTGATCCAACCAATTTTATTGATGAAAACAACCGTTCGTACAAATATCAAAATTAACCCATTCAGTTCAACAATCTGTAAGCCATTTTGCGCTTAGAAGTTGGTAGTTATTTGGTATTTGCTTTTCTGGAAATTTAACTTACCAGAATAAATCGTTAAGTCCTTGTAATTAAATCCTATATGTTACTGAAGATTTTGTTTTCTTTGAAGCAGCATAAGATATGGTTTGATAAAATCATAGTGATAAAAATTGCAGAAAAATTTGGCTGCACTTTATCCAAAACCGGCAAATATGGAAAATTTTGTGCGCAGTCAAATGTATCAAACGGCATACACTGAAATGATCGATTATACATATAATTGGCCAGAAGATGACATGGTCCAAGGCTATCCTGTTCCATATGAGCAGGAATATGAAGATTAATTCAATTATGAAAAGGAAAAAGTGAATAAAACGACATAATTATTCTCCTTTTTCTTTTAAAATTTTCTGCGAAATTATATGAAAACTGTTTGCTGCAATTTTTTTTTTTCATTGCTTTCCTTATCCTTGATCACATTTACACTATTATGATGATTCAAGTACAAATTAAAATAAATTGAAATTCATTTCATTAAAAAGCATAATTTGAAAATAAGTAAAATGCATAAAAATTATGCAATCACCAATTAATAAAATGTAATTTTTGTAATCTTAAATTATCATCGAAGTAAAATAAACATACTATCTTTCTTGAACCGATATGCATAGCTTAAACTTTCATATTATGTTTATTACTTAACGCTTATAACGTATTTGCATTTAACATTGTTTTCGGTATGAATTCCATCTTTGCATGCACTATCAAGCAAAATTAACAATCAGTCATGTGGCGGAAAAAAAACTTTAGTGAAATTGATATTATTCGAAAATTTCTCGTTATTTATCTCGTAATGAATAAAGAAAGAACTAATAATATCAATTCAAATAATTTGATAATAAATAATTTTTGTGTATAAAATGAGTTATTAGTAAAAGAAATACAAAAAACCATTGAAAAGTAATTATTTTATTCAGTCCATTCTACATTTTTTTCTAACTGAGAAATGTTATATATCGTGATATTTATTATCATTATTAATATTCATTTCTATTATCTCTTTTTACTTATTCCATTTACTTCTTTGACATTATCATTATCATTGTCATCATCAGCACCAATTCAGCAATAATACTTATCGTTTTCATTATTTTTCTGTGCAATTATTGTACCCTGCCTATATCGCATACAATATTTCCATTTCTATACGATATTGATACAATAACTGATGTCGATATATTGTCAAGAAGCTATCCACTAATTTTCATGATTCTGTTAGGTAGTTCGTGATTTTTTTTTTTTGGCATAATATTGAAAGAGCATCAAAGCCTTGGTGTAATGGTTGGCTTAAACAAGCCTCAACACGCTAATCACTGTATCGGATTTGGACAAATGCTTCCACATAAAGGCTTAAACGAGCGAGAAAAAATGGAATGATGAGATAGTCGTTTTCATTCCAACCTATTATTGATACCGCCGAGTTCGTGGCACATTTCTGCGGGGTTTCTGGTGCTTCTGGTGATGATCGTCGGGATTTTATACTGAGGCTTTTGCGGGGTTAAAATCCTTTCAAGTTTTCTTCAATTTTATTTTTATATTCGCGTTTTGTGATGTAGGATATTATGTTAAATATCAGTGGAGCTATAAAATTACTTTGTGAATATAACTATGGTTGCTTCTTTTCTTTACAACTCACATCGATGGCTGATATAACAGAGAAAAAAGAGATAATGCAACGGAATATGTGAACGTTAAATGTGGAAATGAATAAATTAGAATTCGGATAGAAAATAAAAAATGTTATTTATTAGGTTTTTTTTATTATATAACCGAATAATACACTTACGAACATCTTTTATATTGATTTAAATAGGAATATAGGAGAAAGAATTTCGATTTAATTCAGTGTGCAAAAATGGGTATATA